GGGATTGCTATCAGCCCAACAAAGGCTAATTGCTGAGGCTATAGAGATAACCAAGACCAATAACTGCGTGAGTAGAGTAGACGGAGTAAGGCTCTCTGGTGCTTGGAGTCCAGTCTTACTCCGGCCAGTTTGAGAAGCGCCGGCAGATGGATCCGAAGTCGGAATGTACACTTTACACTCCTCCACTAAACCCCAAAGTATGGAAGACAAGTTTCATCAGTGACTACGTGCCTTACAACTGACCACTTCAGATTGCCGACCATGTCTGTCTGGGTGCAAAAGCTTCTGAGCAACCCTAGGAGAGATCACAAATGCCGAAGCGCTGAAGTTTGAAAAGAATGGTGTCTTGTTTGAACTGAACAAGAATACCTTGAAAAAGGCAAGATACATTGCATCAACTTCTGCATATTTACCTTAGTCCAGCTGAATTGTGGTGGTAGCAGTTTGGTAATGCACGACTGATATTTTCGCAGGTCCTGCTGTTCCTGTACAAGGTAACTAACTTTTTCCAAGTCATTAACACCTCGACGACAAGGACTTCCATAGACATTGAGAACACCGATAGCAGGGTTACGAGGATATGGTTGGCCTGATCGCAACTACTACCTCCGTTGTGAATTGGACTTGTCATCCCGTGTTTCATATGTCGGGTACATAAATTTCGTCGAATAAATGCTGGGAGAGTAGAGTCAAAGGTTCAACTAAGCTATTTCCTACAACAACAAGTGACCGGGGAATAGCAGCAACTCCAGGAGAGCAGATCGTAGGGGTTTGCACAACCAATTTTCTTTACAGTTTTTGACGTAAAGAAGATAGGTATGAGCTTTGCTGGTGAGATGGCATAGGGCTAGGTGGCGATCGAGCGTATCAAAAACTTGGAGTCTATTGCAGCCACTGGGCATCCGTTGCATCCTTCATAGTCAATGTTAGTCTATCCACTGTTTGAAGAGGAGGGATTCAAAGCTCTAACTTTATGTAGATTGTATAGATGTCGATGCATCTGCTTGTGATATAAAAACTTACCCATCGCCAGATCCTGCGGGTAGGACATTTTACGCCCACTGACAAGTTAAGCTTACTGATTACGGTTAGCCACATAATTTATCTAGGTCTCGGTGCTCCAATTGTTCTTATAGACATACCAGGAGGAAGTTCTTTCTGCGTTACACTTGCGTGTCCTGCTTCGTACTAATGAGATTACGTTTCTAGAGTTTATTTCCTTAGTTTCTAATACTTCGGCAGTCGTGGTGTTAGACTGGCTAACGAAATGTTGACCTACACTAACCGGTGCTTTGTCTGCTAGATAGATCCAGTAGGTTATCTCAATGAGTCGAGCTAATCTGTCGTAAAGTGTAATAGTCCTCGTTACCTCGGTAATGTTGAGTTTTCGCTTTAAACCATCCAACAGGCTATGAAGTCCATCAAACCATCGCTCAAACCAGACTCAGATGGCATCCCCCATCAGTTATTAAACTTGGTGGACCTGACATACCACTACTTTTGCTGAACATGTTCACCTTGTCCTTAGAATCTAGCTACTTGCCGAGTCAGTGGAAAACCTCGTTTATTATCCCTCGTCATAAAGGGAGGCCCAAACAGCACGTCACTAATTATCGACCAATCCAGCATACTCTGTCATCGCTATATTATTCGAAAAATTAGTGAAAAGTGGGATCATCTATCGTCATGGGCTACTTAACAAACCCCAGCATGGATTCCTCGACCGAGGTTCCTGTACAACGTGTCAGTTGCACTACGTGGATTGCATCACAGAAGCCATTGATTCGAAATATGCAGTTATAATACTGCTCCTGGATATGCAGAAAGCATTCAACAGAGTGCCCCACAAGCGGCTACTGAAAAGAATAGAGTCGTTTGGAATCAGAGACCCACTATTTGCTTGGTTGACATCATCCCTAAATGGGCGTTACCAGATAGTCACTCTGGGTAATCATAACTCCTCCCCACGTCCAATCGCTAGTTGTGCCATCCAAGGGAGTGTACTTGGTCCTTTGCTTTTCATACCTTATATTAACGATATCACGAAGTTCATAAAACTTGGCAGGCCATTTTTGTTCGCCGATGACATAAAGATATTTTTATAATTTTCGACGAGACGAACTCAATGGCGTAATGCCGTTCGTTCAAGAAGATCTTGATTCACTTGAGAAATGGTGCAACACATGGATGCTAAATTTATCACCTAGTAAATCATGCACTATGTCACACGGGTGTTTAATCCCTGAAGAGTCTGTTAAACTGAACAATTAACGTCTCTGTGAAACTATCCAACTGTGAGAGGGTTGTCCTGTTCTCCGAGCTGGGCATTTCGGTTGCAGACGTTTCGTTGCCAAACTAGGCAACATCTTCAGTGCGGCTATTCAGTCCTGATTCGCGGCCTCGCAAACCAATGCCAGATCCGAGTGACTATCCAACTGTGATCTAGGCATACAATACTCCTCAAAGTTGAATTTCTCAGAGCAAGCTGAGTATCAAATAGCACGTGCCAAACGATCTGTGGCTAACATATGCCACAAAATCTATACAATCCCTGTCAGACTCGAGCTTTTCAAAATACTTACACTTTCTGTCTTTGAATACTGCAGCATCATTTATGGGAACATGCGAGTGGGTGAGAGGAAAGCTTTGGAAAACATGCAAAGATCATTCACTAAGCGCTTGTTCAGTAAGGCAACCACCATGAGTTATCAGGAGCGCTGTCAGAAGCTTAAGCACGAACCCCTTTAGTTGCGACGACTGAAACATAACCTGATGCTGATACACAATCTCATAGACCAAAAGACATATTCCAATCTGTGTACACTTAAAATGCAACATAACTTCACTCGGAATGTACGCAACAAGACCTGTGCATTATGTGTGCCGAGAACCAGGACAGCTATCCGATCCAACTTCTTATTCGTCAGATAATCTGTCGTGTGGAATAGCCTACCAGCCACAATCAAGTCTTGCACAAATGCAAGAGCATTCCACATTCAGCTTGGCGAATTCCTTGACCATGAACTCGATAATGACCATGTTTTCATCGGGTAAATCACCACACGAGTTCTTTCAGGATGGACCAATGAATATATAATCAGTGATTAAAGATGGTACAAAGACCTCAGCAACTAAAGTTACGTGATTCCAAATTATTTTTATATCATACATCCCATAATACATATCTCACTCATGCATGAGTATGATAACTATTGTACGCATGATCTGTCCAGAATCCACGGACAGCTTCTCGTACAATCAGGAAGTATTCGTAGTATTATTATGGGTGCTGGAAAAGCAATGCTACATGATCACTGCGGCACAGAGGGGCGTCGAAGATCACCTTCTCGATCACGAGTTCTTCGTTGGTGAATCTCCTGTCCAGTTCGGATGGTCCATCAGCCTCTGTGCTATAACCGTAAGACGGAATCTGGGGACAATCTCTAGTAGACCTGCTTTGAATTGTTCCCCAGTGGCGACTTGGGATTCCAGAGCATGGATGTTGTAATCACTAGTAATAATAATGTGATCCTACTTCTTGTTCATAACCCGCCTCAGTGTGCATACCACATGGAATCCCATATCTGGCGTTGAGAAGGAGGGCGGTAAATGTGCGTCACCAAGTAAGCGTCGTCGCCTCTAATACGTAAGCGGTGTCATAGAAAATCCTGTACCATCTTGACCGACTATTTTATGGGCTCACCTTGGAGGTTCCTGCGGAAATATAGAGCCACGACATCACTTTTACTGGGTCGGTCGTGCCGAACAATGGATATGCCTGCCAGTGCGATCTCGATGTCACTTATGTCGGGGTGTAACCATACCCACGCTATAATAATGACAGAATCGAAATTCATAAAGTCTACTAAGACTTGAGCATTATCGCACATGCAGGATATTTTAATGGGCATCAAAGGAGTTTGACATGGGGTGCAAGTATGGGGTGATTTTAGGTTGACCGATGTAGATGCGCTACCTACTCGTTTTTGGGTAGTTTGCCGGTGAACCGAGCAACGTCAAATCTGGATATGATTACAATTCGTCTTGTGTATCCCCTACACATATAGTATGCAGTCCAATGGTAATTTTCACCACACTGATTACATTGATTCTCAGGTGGTGTTGTTTCCTCAATGAGGTCAGATGGGTGCGGCTTTCTGGTTCTTGCCGTTATGGGGATTGGCACTCGCGCAGCATGGGTTTTACTTCCTCGAAGGACATAACCGCAACAGTGTGGGGATAATTCAAGTAAGTGGTACTTACATGCTCATCATATACATCATCGGTCGTTTAAGGGTACGGTGCAGCCTCGGACGGCAATTAGTCAACGAGAACGCAAGGCCGTAGTGTATTGCTATCCGGATTGTGTTGTCCCCACAGAAGGCCAGCTCGAGTCAGTGAAGCTCTCATGAGCAGCCAACTAATGATGGACATTTCATCTTCATGTAATTTTGCGATCTACCACCAAATTTGTACTTGTTTGCAATCGTCAGACAGAGAAAGGATTAGCCGCTGAGCTCTTACTGCTTCACCAAGGAGCCAAGTGCAACGCTTGTCACAACGAGTAATGGCCCAAGGTGGGTCCATTGCAACGCAATCGCTTAGAGGGATTGAGACACGAACTCCCAATGCGGACATCAAACAATGCGAAGTGGATAGGAGTCAGTTCAGTCATTGAACCCCGTCTACATCACATACATGTAACCTGACTTCGGGCTACTTTGTACTCTTCAGGTTGAGATAGCCAATAACCCGGCTGGAAATAAGTAGCAGATTGCACTGTTTTAATCTAGCAACAGTCATCATTTAACTACTGAGGGACGCATGCGCATTTGCGCCACAGGAACGTGTCCATTGCACGCAGCATTAGTTATACCGACACAACCAATCGCTTTGCGCGCGCAGCCCAGATTCGCCCTGGTCACACCGACATACCCAATCGATCAATGATTGTGCACCACACACACAGCCTTGGTGGTGCAACTGATGTTAACCACTTTGCAAAGCAATACACACCAGTATATGTGTACATGATGAATCAAATGAGTGACATTAAGCAACTGCTTTTTGGACTTTTTATTGTTCTTTCCACCTCGCAAGAGCTATTTGTCAGTTCTAACTACACACGAACCATCATGCTCTGTCCGAGTGGTTACTGGCCTGCTTCTGTTGACACAATGGGCGGACCCTACGGAACTGAGAGAACGTTTACGCTTCCCTACATGCCTGATATTGAGCAACCGGTATGTCGGTTTTGTCCTCAGGTTGGTTGCTATGTCGTGCGTCGCAGCATAAAAAGAAAGGGTGAGAGCAAGATGTTGAAACCAACCACCACAACAGCATCCCCAACCACCACAACAGCATCTGCAACCAGCCAGATAAGTGACGAGTTGGTATTGGGAACGGGAGCTGTGGGTCTGACAAACCACAACACCAATGTCAGTAACGTGTCCACGGAACAGCAACCGGAATTTAAGCTTTACGTTTCTTGTGATCATTGGTCGAATTTACCCCTACCATCAGACATAGTAAGCTACTTGGATTGTGTGATGATTGGCAGTGAGATGGAATTCTACTTGTTCATTTATGAGCCCAGATTTCAAGAGCGCAGAATCCCTATTGTTGATTGCGTGGATGTGGATTTCCTGGCATGGATTCCCAATGGAACAGAACTGCTAGGCCTCGAGTTGGGGTTTCGTATGCGTGCAATTCCACCCTTTCTATTCCGCTATCACCAACGTATAATGCAGGTAAGCTATGACAAACGCTAGCTTCTGCACTGATGATTCTTAGCCCGTTAACTATCTCAACGGTGCTTCAATCCATCACACCGTAACACCAGGCAGATGACTGTGTCAATGACAGCCCCCTAGGAAAGACTAAGTAAGAGCGTCAACAGTTCTAGTTATATGAAGTTTTACATATACACTAATAATTGGTTTCTCTATCATTTGTCAACCGTACTAGTAAGACCAGGAGTTGCCATGCTTCTCAATTGAATCCACGTCTAACGCAGCAGAGAACAAAGCAGCAAGTGAAGTGGTTTCGCTTGCCATGGACCCGTGAAGTATACAGTTCGCAGGAGCTTGTTGGTTGGAGACTCCTTTTCCTCTCATTGTACGGTTCATTTACGACATCTTTGATACACAAGTAACAGTTACTAACGTAAATTTATCACTGTTAGGAGAAAAAAGTAATCCCATCACCGATACCAGCTTAGCATGGAAGGTGAGAAAATATAGAAGGTTACTAGTGTGCAACTTACCTGTTGACAGAAAACTATTTGTATAAATGCCAAATGTTAGTTGCTTGTAAATCCTTTTTTCTCTAATGGACAGGAGCACGTTTTACCTAGAGCATTGTGGACTGTGGTTGCCTTGTATCATAGTAATCGGTACAACACAGTACCATATACAAAGCCACAAATGATCATAGTTTGTTTTTATTGCTTTTGACCATAAAAGAGAATGTGCGAAATCCACAACAGCATATGCCAGTACATTAAGTAAACACGGTATCAGCGACTCTTCCCCTAGAGTAAATACCAGAATAGGCAGTTTTTGCCGTGTCATTCGGGCTTCAAAACTCAACGTACTAGTTTTAGGAATAGCCTTTGACTTCCTTGTAACCTCACCTCGTATAACCCTCATCCAAAAACACTGGATCATTTACTTCAATATTGAAAGATCATTTAACAAGCGCTATTTCCAAAATCACTTTCATTTTGAGCGTTTAGTTTCTTCTTAATTTTTCATACCAACTTAGAACCTGTTTTGGAGCTCTCGTGAATCTAAAGATGACATTCACAAACTTAGTCAACTGTCTGGTCCAGTTACTCTGCGTCCTACCTTCCCATCTAGTCTACGCAATACATTTGCATCGACGGATCGTCCCTAACTAACGGATCAATTCCATTCGAAGACACTGAGCGGTTCGCTAGCAATAAGCTGACACAGGTGGTTTTCCGTAGCGAGTCGTTGAAACGCAATCGTCGACCACCGAAGGCACCTGATGGTCAGTATACGACGAACTTCCAAAGTGATGAAGAGATTGCTACCTGCCCTCATATTGTGCAGCACAAACCTGCAAATTTAACACCGCAAGTGGACTGCCAGTTCTCCCCAGCGGTAAGTCATCAAGTACTCCCAACCTTTTGACCCGTATGGATGCTTAGCTGTTGTGAAAGGAGTTAACAGAACGGGAGTCAGGTGTCATACACAAGTATATAGAGTCATTTTTGTTGAACATATGCTTGAGACTAGAAATTCTCTATCCTTTTCTCTTCAATCCCCTAGTGGCAGTTACAGGCCTATAAGAAAACATCGTTGCTATCTAGTCCTGTTTGCGACGCAGCAGCATAGAATTCCGAACTATGATCACAACGAGAGATGCAACGTTACAGTTTAGACATTGTTTGCTGCTGCCATAAGGACATAACGGTAATGTTAAGATGAGGCTGAACACGAAACTATTTGGAAGATATACTGAGCTGACAAACTCCAGGGTTCACTGATTAAACGACGTGGGAAACCAATAACCAATCGGTCCTCTGTGGATGGCCTTGAGATATTTCGGTCACTATCACACACACGCACACACTATACACGTTAGCTAGAGGTGGGAAACACCTCAGTTACTGTGCCGCAATACCTAAAAGAAACAAGGGAATAAAATGCAACAGGTGCAAACCAGCTGAGCTACCGGTAACGAATGGGCATCGTTCCGGTAAGCTACCTGCCGGTTACTATGCAGCAGAAAAAAATAATTTACTATGCAAAGTTATAAAATGCTAAATAATGACATCGTGGTTGGAGGGGAAGGCTAAGAGGGATAGGGTGGGACAAAGAAACTCACAGCACGAAAACCACTGTGGTCGGATCCCAGCCATCATCATCATCATTATTATACATGTCAGCTAGAGGTGTGGAAACACCTCCGCTATTGTACCGCAATACATAAAGGGAATACATACATACATACAACACATAAATGAAAAATGAATACAACCTTTACATGCCAGCTGAGCTACCAGCAACGGATAGGCATCGTTCCGGTAAGCTACCAGCCAGCTACTAGGCAAAAATATTTTATGTTTTACCCTACAAAATGAGATCGTAGATGGAGGGGGAGGCTAAAAGGGATGGGGTGGGACAAAGAAACTCACAGCATGAACGCCACTGAGGTCGGTTCCTTGCCATGTCAGCAAGTGTATCCAGCCAAACGTGTTCACCGTCTTTTGGACCCCAACCAGGGAGCCGAGACGCTCCAACCGAGGCCAGCTTCGAAGTGAGGGCCTTCATTCCTCTCGACCAAGTCATCGCTTGGCCACCTCTCCTCTTCTTCCATCCACACCCCCGGCGCGCAAACAGCGCATGTCGCGGGAGTTGGTGGGCTGGCATGCGCAACACGTGGCCGAGCCATCGGAGTCTGGTGCGGGAAATAACGGTGCTGAGCGGTTCATTTCCTTTTCCTGTGCCTAAACAAGGCGTCGAACACGCTCGTTACTCACGCGGTGTTCCCACCAGATGTGAGCCAAACTGCGAAGGCACCGATGATCGAACGTAACTAACCTCTTCAGGTCCGCTGTTTTAAGGGGCCAGGTTTCACAACCGTACAGTAGGGTCGAACGTACCGATCTTAGCCATAACAACAAGTGCATGCAGCCAAACGTGTTCACCGTCTTTCGGACCCCAACCAGGGAGCCGAGACGCTCCAACCGAGGCCAGCTTCGAAGTGAAGGCCTTCATTCCTTTCGACCAAGTCATCGCTTGGCCACCTCTCCTTTCTTCCATCCACACCCCCACGTGCAAGCAACGTAAGTCGCAGGAGTCGGTGGGCTGGCATGCGTAACACGTGGCCGAGCCATCGGAGCCTGGTGCGTGAAATAACGGCGCTGAGCGGTTCAGTTCCTTTTCCTGTGCCGTAAACAAGGCGTCGAACACGCTCGTTGCTCACGCGGTGTTCCCACCAAATGTGAGCTAAATTACGAAGGCACCAGTGGTCGAACGTAACTAGCCTCTTCAGGCCCGCTGCTTTAAGCGGCCAGGTTTCACAACCGGAAAGTAGGGTCGAACGTACCGCTGCAGTGTACACTCTACCCTTCAGGGCAAGTGTGATGTCGTGCCGCCGCCATAAGTGGCGAAGGTTAGAAAAAGCGCCTCAACCTTTTGCTATACGGTTCGTGGTCTCATCCTCAATTCCAGGGGCGCTGATACAACTTCCCAGGTAGTTGAATTTTTGAACGACTTCTAGCTGATCCCCACCGACGGTCAGCGTAGGAGGCGGTCCAGTCCAATCTTGGAGGAACACTTTGCACTTCGAGGATGCGAAGCGAAGCCCGAAGTGACGGACAGCTAGTGCTAATCTGTCCAGTGCCGCCTGACACGTCTGCGAGCTGCCAGAGATTAGGGCAATGTCGTCAGCATACTCCAAGTCAAGAAGTCGTTCTCCTAGGAGCAGATCTACACCTTCTAAGTCGTGTCCTGTGAACGCGATGTCCATGACTTCGTCAACAGCGAAGTTGAAGAGGAAAGATGACAGCGCGCATCCTTGTCTCACACCGCTGGAGATATTAAAGGGCGACGACAACTTCCCGTAAGCCCTCACTCTGCCCGAGCTATGCGCATATAATGCTCGGATAATATTCACATATTTCTCAGGTACATCTTTGCTGAGTAGGCGGTCCCAAAGTGCATGTCTATTCACTGAATCGAATGCACCTTTGATATCGAGGAACACGACAACGGTGGGCCGCCAATATATGTGACGGTGCTCCAAAAACTGACGCAAAGTGAAGATGTGGTCAATGCAGCCACGACCCCGACGAAATCCAGCTTGCTCTTCACGAATCTGGCTTTCACGAGTGCCAGTCAGTCTTTGAGGGATGACAGAGACAAGCAATTTAGAGGCAAACGAAATCAGACTGATTCCTCTATTGTTGCCGCATTCCGATCGTGAGCCTCCCTTGAAAATTGGGACTATGATGGAGCGGCTCCAATCGGTTGGGACAGTTTCCTGCTCTCACAGTTTGACTAGTAACTCGTGTAAATTATCCACAAGAGCAGATCCCCCGAATTAGAAGAGGGCTGGAGTAAGATCCTCAGGTCCCACGGTTTTATTTAACTTCAACAGTTCAATCTCACGTTCGACTTCTGAGCGAGAGGGTGGATCCGAAGGGACAGCCCACGGAGCGGGACGATCAGTGGCCGGCAAGAAATCTAACCATTCCGACCGATTAAATTGCCTTTCAAAGTGCTCAGCCTAATACTCTAAGCGTTTGGATAAGCTGTGGATAGGCTGTCCACTCTCGTCACGTACAGTTTCAATGACACCGGGTCTCCTGCTGCCCGTTTCCCGTATCAGCCGGAATAAGTTACGATGGTTACCAAGGGCAGCGGCCATTTCCATATCTGATGCACGATGAGACCACCAGGATTCGCGGTCTCTCTTCAGGATGGCACGGAGTTTTGCCCGGAGCGCTTTGCGAGTTTCATTGTGTTCGCTTCCAGCCGGAATATGCCGGCGAGCATCTATAAGTTCCAGAGACTGAAGAGACTCAATGTCCATGTTGGTGATTAGACATGCCACATGAGGATTTTCCCGCTGCTAGTAAGGTCTGGTGAACATGAGACCAGTGACCTTCAATTGCATCCAGAGAGCGCTTATTCAACTCGCATGACAGCGCACCTCGATACTCATTCAGAACAACTGGCTTTGCCAGTTGGCTGGTGTCAATGCGCTCACAGCATCGTCATGGGCGTCCGCCAAAACGCATCCGCAGGTCAGCACATACAAGTGCATGGTCGGTGTGCACACCTGTGCTCCAAATCGAGCGACAGTTCTGGACGCAGTCTCTCCATCGGCAAATTATCGCAATGTGATCGGTTTTGCTTCTGTAGCTGGTTCGAGGCTGGTGGGCGCCAAGTCCTCCTCCGTCAGGTGCTGTGTCGGTAATTAGTGCTCGCAAGAAATAAGCGAGCATCCTCACACAAATGAAGTAACCACTCACCGTTATCATTACGGGAGCCTACACCATGTTGACCGCACAGATGCAGTTCATCAGTCGATAATTTGCCAACTTGAGAGTTCCGATCCCCAGCCAGCAGTACAGTGTCCGTGTTGCTTCTGTGGCGTTCAGTTGACGATAGAAGTCGTCTTTTACCGTGTCATCGCTAGAGTTTGCGATGACGAATATACACCTGTTAGTCTCACGCAACTTCGAAGTTTTGAATGAGCCAGCCAATCGGACCGCACACATCCGGCTACTGATTGCAATCCAATCAATCAGAGTAGCTTCAGTCCGCGGACTCAGGGCAATACCAACAGCGGCTTGGCCGGTGCTCGAGGCTGCATCGTCACCGGATAGGCGCAATGAGAAAGTGCTGCTGGTGTCACCTGAAGGGATCGCAAATTGAGCACAGAGCTCGAGTCTTACAGGCAGGTCTCCGATAAACAGCAGATATCGATCGAGATGGTCTCTATTGTTCGGGCAAATGCTGCCTGTTGACCTTTTTGTAGCAATGTGCGTACATTGAGGCATGTCATTCTGAAGGAGGATCGAGGGCTCCAAATGGAAATCGATGAACTGGGCTTGACCGTTTGCTTGGACATGGGCTTGTCGACAGGACAGCAATAACGCTCCACGTTCACATGTGAGTTGAAACTAGAAGGTAAAAGTCTAGCAAAGCACAGTGGGGGAGGGCCAAGAATTGGGGGGTTAAAAACAGGGGGGGATAAAAGTGAAGCTGGAACGGAACGATAAGGGTGCAACAACGTAAGAGGGGTAATAAGAATATGGAAAGGCTTGAGTAGTAGCGTCCAAACCCCTATCCACCCTGCTCGATGCAGAAGATAGGGCACCGTTGATTATCCTCTGCGGTGACCAGAGCATCAAGAAACTGTTTGAAGGGAAATTCATAGGATTGCGTGGGCACGATACTGTCAGGTTACCTAGGCCTATACAGGAGAACGATTATGGTTCTCAACCAAACCTTTGGTTCAAAAACCTGACCGCAAGGCAGCGCATTTGGCGTTTGGCTACAAGGAGTCCGTTTTAAGGAATAAGAAGCTAACTCATTCCAACCCCCAACCTGAAGGACCAGGAGGCTGAGTTTGTCTGGCCTCTGACCATTGACCAGTCTGGTATGAGTGGCTCTGAATATGCAAAAAGCCCCACCTAGCATAGCTCAATGGATCGCTGAGGCACACAAACCATCGCACCACGGTAAGGTCCAGCCTCATTGCGATGGTCGGTCAGTATCAGATTAACAACAGCTTGCCATCTCAAGGAAGAAAAGTATTCTCTTGAAGCACTCTACGTAGGCCAAAAAATTCAATATGCTTATCCTGCCTCCAAATGCGGCCATTACTGCGTTTAAGATGGACTTTCCCAGGCTGTAAGGACGCAGTTAATTAATTTAGCTAAAGTCTTGTAGAGACACCCATTGCTTTATGCGTTTGAGATTAGGGAAACAACCGCTGCGGTTCAACGAATAGCACAGCCGGAACACGACTCTCATGAAAAGCGGTTACCAGACCAATGTTGTCCCATTGTTCCATTGTCCTAGATTAAGACGTTGGAGTGAAGAGATCATAAAATCCGTTTCCGGTGAAGTCCGTGGGACAGGCACTACAGAGTAGTCCAGTCACTGCGATACCACCTACTAGTATCTTTTTCTGATGTATAGGGTAGCTGGCTGCAAGTTTACTGAACTGAATCAGCCCTAGCAACGCTAGTCTGTTGGCGTTGCACACACGATCAGTTGCCTGTACTGGGGTTTGCCTTCAGGAGACGGAAACACTGAGTTTTCTCGAACTCTTAACTTGAACAGTAAGCCACTGCAACCTTTGCGAACGAGACAAAGTAGCCTATCAACGGTGTGCTGCCATAGTCTACCGCTGAAGTGTAGTTGAATTGTTGCTCCTCTTTTTCGTTTCGCAGGAGACGTGACTCAGTGTCATGCGAGGTACACATGGAGGCTTGCCAATGAGGCCTAAAGCCAGTCAAATTTTGCATGATCTGCCTTGCTCTAATAGGTGCCCAGCCTCCTAACGTTTATCCGCATCACATTCAAATTGTATTACCCCGTAAAAGACAATCACGAAATCACGTTTACATTTCAGGGACTGCCAACCACATCAGACCGCGTGGATCGGAAGCAGGCCCTGCTTAGGTGCCCAAATCGCATTCGGATTGAGCCTCAGAAGAAAGAACACCGAGGGATGTCCCATCTTGGTGTGGCCGAAGAACTTCGAGTTCCGCCAGCGGTGCTGTCTGCATCATTACTGGTGATGGTACTCTTACTCAGTATAGGCATCATAGTAGCATTTTGCGTGATGAACGCAGAGAAGTTGATGCTGTGCCGTACAAGAAGCCGGAAGCGGCGAGAGCGCGAGGCTTTGTTAGCATCTGAACTAGCCGATCAAGCGGCCAAGGAGGCAGCCTCCGCGGCAGCGGTGGCAGAAACTGTCGAAAGGCAACACAATGCGTGGCATCCAATTTACGGGCGATACGGAGTCATACCGCCTAACATGGGTGGAGCATTCGGAGCATTCGCTTCTCGAACCATTGATACTTCCTCTAACCCCCCACAGATGATGAATATGACTGGAGCGCCCGTTAATCTTAACAGATCTGCTGCAGGATTTTACAGCCAACATCTAGGATCAAGCGCACACGGATGAGTGTCACCAAGAGTTTTGAAAGACACGAGAAATGGTTGTACCAGAAATGCAGAGCAGTTTTCTACGTTCACTAAGCTGAAAGAAACGTCAAAAAAATGCACATCGGCGCCAGTTAAACAGTGTTCAAAGCTCCGTTGTCAAAACTGCAACAAAACTGCTTCTGTATTCTAACCCGCCGTGTGAATTATTTACTAACCTAGCTAGAATCTTCAGCATGAAGATCCTTTTCACCTTTCAGTACAACCAGTCGGTTCATTCAATCAACCATCACAATCATCACCGTTTGGGCTTTAATGCGGTACGCCAACTAACAATTTCACGCAACAATTGCTTCAACAGAAATGTACACGAATACTCTTTCATTTACCGAGAATTAATCACAAGACTTATATATCCTGAACAGCGTTATTTCTATATTCCTAAGGACAGAAGAATGGTAACAGAAAGGCCTGTGTATGGGGAGGAAGTAAGTTTGCTATATGTAACTGGAAATATAACCTCAGCAGTTCGAGCATGCCATTACGTAAGCAGACGCATGAGATTTCTCTCTCACTATCCTTCAAACCGTATATGTATCGATTTTGGGAGAAATTGGTCCCACGCGGGCTCAGCTCCATAACATTGCAAACGGTTCCTGCTCCTGCATAGGAAAAGTAAGTATATTCAAATGCAGTAGTTAACACCTAGATGGTAGAGGCACCAAAATGATGGTAAACTGGGTCCTCTAAATAAAAAAATGCGTCAGCTGTGTGCCGTAACGGCGTACCGCGCGACCACCACCAGTCATGTGTGGGCTGAGTATATCGCCAGGACGCGCCCCTAAGCGCATTAGAACCGGCGACCTTATGAATGCAAGCCAGGCATGCTACCACAGATATCGTCCGTGATAGATTGATTGGAGGAAGTGAGTAAATTTAACCGGAAAGAAAATGGCTTGTATAATGCTTACATCCGCAGCAAAAGTTAGTAAAATCTTAATTATTTGAACCAAATGAGTCTGTTGGTTGAATAATTCCCCAAACCCGACTTCACGGAGTTGCGCTGTTGCAAATGGAATCCGTATGAGGATGGGATGCACGTATGGCTACAGCGAATCACACACAACCCTCACTTGATAAGATGTCTACCGTGCCCAGAAAAGTTGCAAAATGACACCAAAATTCAAGTCTCAAAAAGCACTGCAGGAGTGAACTAAGCATACGAGAGTATTACGCCGCGATGACTACCACAGTCGACATAGTGCAGGTGCTTCCCGGAGTCAGCCCCTTGTATTTGAGCAACCCACCCACAGACAAGCGCACCTACAACACAGCGCTCAGTACAAACTAATACAAACCTATCACGTTTCGGTCGGACACGCCGCCCTGTCCACCGATACACTTGAACGGGTAGCACCACATAAAAATTCTTCGGGGTGCTGACAATGAACAATGAACAATGACATTAAATTAGATCGTACATGGACATGTAGTGCTCATATTTTTGCGAGCAGAGGGGGAGAACAATGTCCTGTTCAAATACTGATCTCGATTGGCTTATCCTACTCACACTTCTATTCAGCACTCGTTGGCCTAGTCATGTGACCTTGCGTGTGATTGATTGCAATTCGATCGCCTATCGATTCAATTGTAACGCGCAAACATACACACAGATTTTCCATGTATACGTTCCAGTGCTGCTTTGGTCTGCTTCCTCTTCGGGATACAACACATTGGAAGAAGAGTTCGGTGGTCCGGGTTATCGAACGCTTTAGAGAAGTCATAGTAAACGACATCCACTCCTTGTTTGGCATTGATTGTATCTACCCAGCTTGCTCGGGCTAGCAACAAGTTTGTAGTTCTAGACCGACTTCGGCGGAAGTCTTGCTGCTGTGACATTATAATGTTGCTGCACTTAAGGTATTCCATGAGCGCCTCTGCGGCGATGCCTTCCATCGCTTTGAACAACAGCGGAAGGAGAGTGGTTGGACGGTAGTTCGAGAGCTCCGCACGATTCTTACTCATGTAAAAAAGGAGTGATTGTTCCAGTTTCCTACATTGTGTGAACCAGCATTTTATCAAGGCTTCGTTGAAAGAACCGAGCTAGTGGTACGGCGATGTGTACGCTGGCTGTCTTCCATGCCTTCGGTCTGATGTCGTCCATGCCAGGAGAGCTGTGCACGCACATGGGCAATAGTCATTTCATCACATTTGGTGCTGTGAACGATATGTGGCTTAACTCTGGTGGCGGTGCGAGCTGCGTCAAAAGCAGGTGAGATGATGATTCACTCCGGAAAGTGAGGATGATGTGTTGGCGAAGCGCGTTGGCCACCTCTTGAGTAGTTTGTACCAGACCACCTGTTGCACGTAGAATATGGATCCCGGGCCGTGCAATCCGGAACTTGTTGACTTGTCTGTACTGAATGTCGTCGCTAAGTTCCGTTGGTGGCGGAGTTTGTTATCACGGATCAACTCGACGCAGTAGTTTCATTGAGTTTTGTAAGCATCCCAGGCTCGGTTCCTCGGACAAGTCTTATGATCGCAGTAGACTGAATTGCCTCAGACCACGAATTTTCGAGTCCGAGTTCTCAGGAAAGACTTCATCTGCTTCGGGCGGGCGCGTGTGGCTTTCCGACGCATTTGTCACTAGTCAGGTGAATTGGCTGACGAACACGAAATAGCAGCCTCGCGTGAACGTCAGGCCAAGGGGTGCATCTATGGATACGGACTGGAGCATTAGTTTATAGTTGATGAGCACAAGATCCAGTTGGTGTGTCACACGTTCGGAATTCTGTGGAAGAGATGACATAGTTGTACAGAGGTACATTGAAGATTACCTGATGCAGTTAAGCCTTAAATTGGTTGCACTACTTAGCATCGTGTTCGGTCCGTGGTAGAAGTTGTCCCTGACAGCAACAGCACGGCGGTTGTTAGAGGCACAAGCAAAAACCACAAGCATTATTAATCAATCTTAGTTCAGGTCATCGAACGAGCTTCACACAAACAGCTGCTCAAAGGGATCCAACCAGGCAACGTTGACTCAGACGTGGAGCTGAGGACGATGCCATCCCACCTTGAACAGTGACAGCCGCATCCGCGTTTCCGGATGCGTGCAACTAATAGCGAGAGGACAAACTGGGCGCAAGTACTTCAACAACCTCCTGATGCCGTTGGTTCTAGTTTTGGGAATACAGCAAGCGGCGATAACCAGTGTGTCTAACGTGCGTGCGGGTGCAGCCTGTTGACCCATTTACCTTGTAGACTGGATGTTGAACGTCGCCAACGAAACAAAAAATTATGGACTTATAAGGGGCTTTTGGCGATTGGCGTCCATTGGGTAGTGCAGGAAGATAGCTGCCGATGGTAGAATCGCAATCGTACTGTGGTTGTTTGACATTAAGCTGGGAAGTATAGAAGGTAGTGTTGTAATGCTGTCAGGAGGGGAGTAAAGGAAACAGGCGGTAATGAAAGAGGTAGGCGCCAGTAGTAGCATGTGTTCGCTTATAATTCTTTCTGTATCCAGTAAATAAGGCGACCCTTGCTAAGCCGCGCGACGTCCGATGCGCCATGTGTTTGAAGTTTGAAGAAATATCCTGGTTATACCTGGGCTGAGATACTGTCAGGGCGCCCAGACCTAGACAGGAGAACCATTAGGTTCCCCAATCCAATCATTTGAAACGAAAGCCCATCTGCAAGGCAGCAGGGAGGTGGCAACGATTCGGTTTTCAGAAAAGTGTGGAGTCCCATTTCAAACTTCCATCTTGAAGGACCAGGTGACAGTTCGTCTGATCTCTAACCACTGACCAACCTGGTAGGAATAGCTCTCAATGGGCCAGGGGGCCTCACTCAGTCTACCTCAATGGGTCAAAGATGTACGCAAACAGTCACAACAAGTTAAGGTCAAGTCTCGTTCACACCTCGCCAATTCAACTTCATAGCAAGGCTGCTGATTAGGTTTAGGACATATTCGTAAGCAATCCTCTTACCAACCTTTTTGGAAACCGAATCGTTGCCACCTCCCTGCTGCCTTGCAGATGGGCTTTCGTTTCAAATGATTGGATTGGGGAACCTAATGGTTCTCCTGTCTAGGTCTGGGCGCCCTGACAGTATCTCAGCCCAGGTATAACCAAAATATTTCCTCAAACTTCAAACACATGGCGCATCGCACGTCGCGCGGCTTAGCAAGGGTCGCCTTATTTACTGGATACAGAAAGAATTATAAGCGAACACATGCTACTACTGGCGCCTACCTCTTTCATTACCGCCTGTTTCCTTTACTCCCCTCCTGACAGCATTACAACACTACCTTCTATACTTCCCAGCTTAATGTCAAACAACCACAGTACGATTGCGATTCTACCATCGGCAGCTATCTTCCTGCACTACCCAATGGACGCCAATCGCCAAAAGCCCCTTATAAGTCCATAATTTTTTGTTTCGTTGGCGACGTTCAACATCCAGTCTACAAGGTAAATGGGTCAACAGGCTGCACCCGCACGCACGTTAGACACACTGGTTATCGCCGCTTGCTGTATTCCCAAAACTAGAACCAACGGCATCAGGAGGTTGTTGAAGTACTTGCGCCCAGTTTGTCCTCTCGCTATTAGTTGCACGCATCCGGAAACGCGGATGCGGCTGTCACTGTTCAAGGTGGGATGGCATCGTCCTCAGCTCCACGTCTGAGTCAACGTTGCCTGGTTGGATCCCTTTGAGCAGCTGTTTGTGTGAAGCTCGTTCGATGACCTGAACTAAGATTGATTAATAATGCTTGTGGTTTTTGCTTGTGCCTCTAACAACCGCCGTGCTGTTGCTGTCAGGGACAACTTCTACCACGGACCGAACACGATGCTAAGTAGTGCAACCAATTTAAGGCTTAACTGCATCAGGTAATCTTCAATGTACCTCTGTACAACTATGTCATCTCTTCCACAGAATTCCGAACGTGTGACACACCAACTGGATCTTGTGCTCATCAACTATAAACTAATGCTCCAGTCCGTATCCATAGATGCACCCCTTGGCCTGACGATCACGCGAGGCTGCTATTTCGTGTTCGTCAGCCAATTCACCTGACTAGTGACAAATGCGTCGGAAAGCCACACGCGCCCGCCCGAAGCAGATGAAGTCTTTCCTGAGAACTCGGACTCGAAAATTCGTGGTCTGAGGCAATTCAGTCTACCGCGATCATAAGCCTTGTCCGAGGAACCGAGCCTGGGATTCTTACAAAACTCAATGAAACTACTGCGTCGAGTTGATCCGTGATAACAAACTCCGCCACCAACGGAACTTAGCGACGACATTCAGTACAGACAAGTCAACAAGTTCCGGATTGCACGGCCCGGGATCCATATTCTACGTACAACAGGTGGTCTGGCACAAACTACTCAAGAGGTGGCCAACGCGCTTCGCCAACACATC